CGCCCTGACCCTTGGCGCTCCATAGCCGAGGTCGGTCGGGAGGATAGCCTCGAAACCGTAGATCATGAAGAATGGCATGTAGCCGGTGGCCCGGCTGGGGGTCGTCCTCAGGCTCCAGAGCACCGCGGGAAGCTCGGTGACCCATCGTCCGCCAAACTTGTTCAACCGGTTGAAGATCCTAGGCTTGAGGCCATGTAGGACCATGCCGTTCGCGCGCTCGACCTGCCCGTTCGTCGGGGGTGCGCCATGGCAGCCCAATCGACCCGAATGTGGTATTCATCGTAGAATCGGAGGAACTTTTTTCCGGTGAACTACGTGTCATTGTCCATGATGGAGTTTGGGACTCCAAAGCGATGGAAGATGTCGAGGAAGAACAGCATGGTTTGCTCGGACTTGATCGCGGAGATCGGCCGAGCCTCTATCCACTTTGTAAATTTGTCTACGGTGACAAGCAAGTGGGTGTAGCCCTCGGGCCCTCTTTTGAGAGGTCCGACCAGATCGAGCCCCCAGACTACGAACGGCCATGTGATGGGGATCGTATGGAGTGCTTGGGCCAGTAGGTGAATCTGTCAAGCATAGTACTGACACCCTTCGCAGGTGCGCACAACCTGCTCGGCGTCGGCTACTGCGGTCGGTCAGTAGAAGCCTTATCAGAATGCGTTTCCGACCAGGGTTCTAGGCGTGGCATGGTGACCGCAGACCCCACCATGGATATCACTCAGCAAACGCTTCCCCTATTCGATGAGGATGCAGCGCTGCAGGATCCTGGTGTGGCTTCGCTTGTAGAGTTCGCCCTCAATAAGGACAAAGGACTTGGTGCAAGCGTGAGCCGTCGAGCCTCCGTCTTGTCCGTTGGCAACGCCTCACGGAGGAGTTAGTCGAGGTAGAGCGTCCTCCAGTCGACCAAAGGGTCGGGCTCTGTCGCTGGGTCCTCTTCGAGCTCTATGACTTTAGGGTCGGATGGAGCTGATGGTTGGTCAGCCCCCGAGCCCAGGGTGGGCGGCCCGTCATCGGCTTGTTCCGGCCCCTCGTAGCGAACCGAGGGCTTGTGCTGATCGTTGACGAAGACGCCTGTCGACACTGGCTCTTGGCCGGATGCCACCTTCGCCAGTGCGTTGGTCGCCTCGTTGAGACGCCTCGGGATGTGATTGAGCTCGAGACCGTCGAACTTGTCCCCCAGCTGGCGGACTTCTTGACAGTACGCAGCCATCTTGGCATCGTGGTAGCTCGACTCCTTCATGACTTGGTCGATGACCAGCTGGGAGTCGCCCCGGACGTCGAGGCGTCGGATCCCCAACTCGATGGCGATGCGTAGGCCGTTGATGAGCGCCTCATATTCGGCCACATTGTTGGAGGAGGGAAAATGGAGGCGAACCATGTACCTCATGCGTACCCCGAGGGGCGAAACAAAAACCAGCCCCACGCAGACGCCTTTCTTCATCAGCGATCCGTCGAAGTACATTGTCCAGTACTCCTGGTCGACGACTGCCGGTGGCATTTGGACTTCGGTCCACTCTGCAACGAAATCAGCCAACACCTAGAACTTGATGGCCATCTGGGAGGCATACGCAATGCCATGACCCATAAGCTCGAGTCCCCACTTCGCGATTCTTCCGGTGGCATCCTGGTTTTGGACGACCTCGCTGAGGGGGAAGGACGTCACGACCGTCACCGGATGTGACTCGAAGTAGTGGCGCAGCTTCCTCTTGGCGATGACGATAGCATACAGGAGCTTCTGGATTTGGGGGTAGCGGGTCTTAGAATCGGATAGGACCTCGCTAATAAAGTACATGGGGCGCTGTACTTTGAGGGCGTGCCCCTCTTCTTCTTGTTCCACTACTAGGGCGACGTTGACCACTTGCATGGTGGTTGCAATGTAGAGCAGAAGGGGTTCTCCATCAGTCGGAGGAACCAGGATCGGGGCCTTCGTCAGAAGCTGCTTGATCATGCCAAGTGCCTCCTAGGCCTCGGACGTCCATTTGAAGCGATCGGCCTTCTTCAGAAGCCGATAGAAGGGGAGACCTCGTTCGTCGAGGCGCGAGATGAAGCGGCTGAGCACGACGAGGCACCCTGTAACTCGTTGTACTCCCTTCATGTTCTGAATCAGGCCCATCCTTGTGATGGCTGAGATCTTCTCTGGGTTGGCTTCGATGCCATGCTCGGAGACAATGAAATCGAGCAGCATATCCCTCAGGACCCCAAAAACGCACTTCTTGGGGTTGAGCTTAATGTCGTTTGATCGAAGTTTTGCGAAGGTCTGCTCAAGGTCGGCTACGAGCTGGTCAGCCCGTTTGGACTTGACCATGATGTCGTCCACGTAGGCCTCAACGGTCCGCCCGATGAGGTCCCCGAAACACTTGAGCATACAATGCTGGTACGTAGCCCCAGTGTTCTTTAGACCGAACGACATTTTTAGCTTTAGGTAGGTGTAGTTGGGGATGGCCATGAACTTCGCGTAGCATGATTGTCCCTGGATGGTGTGGTAGGTTTCGTGGAACCCCACCACTTCGAAGGTGAGGATCTCCGCCCTATAATTAGACGGATCCCCGAAGGTGACAGGCAGATCGATCTACCCAAGTGGCACGGCCTGCTTCCCAGGCACGATGCCGTGGAAAGGCGCTCTGGTCGGTCGAATGCGCGCTCGGTCGATGCCCATAGCGTCGAGTGCCTCGGCGTACATGATGTTAAGGCCATTGCCTCCATCCATCAGTACCTTGGTGAGCCACTTCATGACGATGATCGGGTCGACCACGAGCGGGTATCTCCACGCTGGCTCCCCCTGCTGGAGTCAGAGGTGGAGTGCTACTCCGTTTCTTCCGCAAGGAGGTTGTGGAAAGACTCTGCAACATATTCGGTCATCCCCACGAACTCGTCGTTCGCGGGGGATGGAGACGCGCGTTGTGCCATAGGGTGGTCATCGGTCTCTGTGGCGTTACGGAGACCGAACGGGAGCGCTATCGGGGCGCTCCGGATGAGGTATTCCGAAGAGAGCGGTTCCCCTCCGGCATACTGCGCCATGACGTTAGCGAACGAGAAGGTGAGGTGGCGTAGGTCCTCCCGGGATGGTTGGGGTCCCAGGAAGGCGCCAAGCTAGCGCTCTAACCTCCCATAGTCGAAGTCGAGGAGCTGGTCGCCTCTGAGGGTGCGGGCCTCCGGTGTGTGCAGCTGTAGCTCCTCAAGTGCCTCGGCGATCGCGTCGAGGCCGGTGGAGTGGAGAGGTCAGACGGCGGCCGGAGCCATCGCTAACTCTCCCTCCATTATGACGATGAAGTCCAAGTCCTGGGACCCAGCTCAGGTTGTGACTAGCCATTCGAGGTCTGGTGTGGATGTCGAGACGCGCAAAAGGCCCCTACCTGGTGCGCCAACTGTCGGTGTTTCGAGTTGTCACCGACTAGTAAATTTCTAATATTGCGTGTCTAGTCCGGATGGTGTGCTAAGAGGACACGAGATTTATACTGGTCCGGATAGAATATCCCTACGTCCAGTTCATTGCTGCTGCTCGTGTTACTAGTACTGAAAGTTTGTAGCAGAGGTTACAAACAGTCGAGAGAGGGACAGGTCCCAAGTCTCTGGTGAGAGGAGCGAACAGGCGCCAAGGGCTCAGTCGCTGCTCAGTTGTATGTTCGGGGTTCGATGAGTTGATCGGATTCGAGTCGAGTCCGGTCTCGAGACGAGTTCGGATGTCCCTTGTAGGACGCCCTGCTTTCCCTTTTATAGGCCAAGGGAGAGCACGGGTTACAGTGGAGGAAGAGAAGAGAACGAGAGGAAGAAGTCCTTCAGGATCGCTGGGTCCTTCTTGTCCTTTATGTGGGTCCCGCTGACCCTGTAGACGTCAACATGGATAGTTTCTCGTCGTAGCCCTGTCCGTCACTAGCGCCACGTGCAGGCGTCGTCTACCAGTTATGGCACTCCGCTCTGTCCTGGCGGACGTTGTGGTGAACTGACATGCCCATCATTGTTCGTACAGGGGTTAGGCAGAACAACATTTGTACGCCCGATGTTGGTCCTGACATGAACCCCCAGGTATGGCCCGTCATGGGTCGCAGGCTACATTGAGGCATGCCAGTTACTTCTCTGGTGTCAGAGCTTTGACCCAGACCCATACGTTTGGACCTGGAGTGGTTGGCGGCGGTATGGGTCTCCGTTGGACGAGATGGAGCCTCTGACCTTGAGGTCGGACGAGACGGAGTTCCTTCCCAGAGGCCAGGCGAGGCGAAGCGCAAGCCCAAGGGTCGGGCGAGGCGGAGTCCGCCCTCATAGGTCGGGTGAGGCAGAGCGCGGACCCGAGGGTCAAGCGAGGCGGAGCGTGGACCCAAGGGCCGGACGAGGCGGAGCGCGGACCCAAGGGGTCGAGCAAGGCGAAACGCGGACCCAAGGGTCGGACGAGGAGAAGCGTGAACCCAAGGGTCGAACGAGACAGAGCCAGCCCTTGGAGGTCAGGCGAGGCAGAACCGACCCTCAGAGGTCGGACGAGGCGGAGCACGCGGCCTCGGTGTCGGTCGAGGTGGAGCGCGGACCTAGAGGTCGAGCAAGCGAGCCCTGTCCTCAGAGGTCGGGCGAGACAGAGCCGGCCCTTAGAGGTCGGGCGAGGCGGAGCTTGCGTACCTGGGGTCGTCAAGAGTTGTAGTCGCGCTCTTGACCGCTCGGATGAATTAATGTTGACGGTTATTAGCTCCTCCTCTTTGGGTACCCTAGTATTGGTCCCCGACAGGGGTGTAGTGAAACTCTAGAGATCTAAGCTTCCATTCAAATGAATCTAACATCAAATGCAGCTGCTTGAAGAGCAGAAGAAAACATAATGTACAGAAGTGACTACTTCAACTCCCTCCCCAGCCTATACATGATGTCTAGAAAAATTCACTCACATGACAACAGGTAACCAACAAACGACTTTATCATTGCATGCCTTGTTTGCAAAACAGCGTGCAGGTACCACCATGGAGTATTTCCCCCATGTTGAAGTCTCATTTTTTTACCTGTAAATATTGGTCCTTAGGATCTTACCGAGCACGGGCAGTTGCCGGTTGTTTCGATGAGCGCCCAGACTTGTGCTTCCGCTTTTGGTTCACCACTGCAGCAGGATCAACCAATGGTCCAGACCAAGTAGGCACAGCGCCTTTCTCATATGTGAACACAGTGCTGAAGGAAGATGGGTCTGGAGGTTCGTATAGCGGGTCCATATGATTTGAAGTATCCAAAGGGACACCAACCGCACCATCTTGATGTGGGGGAGGGAACTTTTCACTCTTGCTCTTCGCATTTGCATGAGTAATGAACCTTCTTTTCTGTAATCAGAAAGAAAAGGATAAGCACAAGTCAGTGATACTACAAAGTTTGTTTTATGGCAGTATGGGCTTCCTTTTGGACCATGGCTGGGGACCCATCGTGAAGTCTACTTGGATGTAGGGTGTATTTTACAAATGTAGAGTTTATGTGAAAGACTGAAAGGGCGGGCTGAGACAAAGCAGTGGCTGCACCGCCTCAGAACATTGAACAACTCTATCCTAAGCTTATCTTATTAACCTCTAAAAAGACCAGCTCACAGTAACAAATTGTACCAAAAGTAACAAGTTCATTCAACATACATCGATGTTTACTTGAAGTTCAGCATTTGCCTCTGGAGCTGGAACTGCCTTAGGTCGATCACGTGTTCTCGTCTTCTTGGCTCCATCACCATTAGCTCTACCACCAGCAGCTCTTAAACTGTTGAACATGGTAGACAAGTCAGGTAGCATCATGGTAGTGTATAAGTGCTCAACTGAACTGACATGAGATCACGAACAGGGAGATGGGTCAGGGCCTCAAGGGTAGCACTAGGATATTTGGCTAGTTGCAGATATGGGGACACGCAATCAGTGAAAACTCGATCAGAAAAATGAGGCAGTAGTTGTCCTTTGACTCAATTATGAGGTCTAAAACATATTCAACAAATTACAGAAATCCAGGAGCTTTTAGCACAATTATGCCACTTAAAGTTTGACCACAGTTAGCACTAAAATTAACTAAAAAGGTTTTTTGAGAGAAGAGATACTTTTTGCTTTTGTATTGTATAATAATGGAAGCATAAACTAGTACACGATGTGTCCCTTTAGTCACATTCTCTCGTTTTCTTTTTTAACTTACAAAGGACATAGGTATTAACATTAAAATACCAGAAAAGATCTGGTCAATTTAAGTAGCTCACTTTTTGGCACTCATGTTTAACAGGAGTTGAAAGGAGGACGAAATGTCCTTTACATTTACTAAATCATGACAGTGTTGTTGTTCAACTTCTGTTTCAATGTTAATGACTCGTGGTAACTAGTGAGTACCTGGATAGATCCAAAGATCCATTGCCTAATAGGCTAATAACATGTTTGTTCTTTTCAGATACTAGACAAAGCTAGTGTTCACAAAACCTTCTAATAATGTGCACTCAAGTTTTTTTCTTGCCAACAGTAAGCACTTGCTAAGCATGGGACCCTACATTATCATACTAAGGTATTATTTCTACAGAAATATCTTATATGAACAATTTCAAATATCAAAATGTAAAAATTGCATATTTTTTAGGTTAGTGAAGCAAATGTAGATGAAACAATTGTGGTTTCAGACCACAAGAAAACAGAAGATAAATAAAACCTAATTGATCTTGCTCATTTGTAATTTTTTTCTTTTGTGTGCGTAAGGATAGTGATGTTACCCCCCATGAAACGCAATTATAGGCGGCAGTTGCTATGCTTATAACAAGAATTGTTACTGCACACTCAAAGCAGATAAGTCTATGACACTGTGGATCATCCTAACTAATGAAATAAGTGGCAAGATGACAAACCGTCTGGCTTCTTCGTCTCTTCGTTTTGCATCTATTTCTTTGCTTGGAGGATATTTTGGAAGACTCGACGGTTCGCATGCAAAAGGTTCGGTTGTAAAGAACTGCACACATAGAAAGTTAACAGAAGGCATTAATACACAACACCAAAAAAATATGCTACAAAACAAAATGTGTGACAAGGATGAGAATCTGGGTGCTATAATGCTAGCATATCAGGCGCTAGAAACCCCTACAGTCTCTGCTAGCCTAGATTCATGTAGTATTATGTTGTTTCTGGAATTAACCATATGATTCTTTAGTCCAAATGGAATTGTGAGAAATTGAGAATCATGGTCTAAATTTCCTCATATTGCACAAAAACAAATTGAGTTGTTTGGATATGCGATACACCTAAATTTTGACCAGTGGATATATCATTATGTGCCTGCAAAAGAAATATTCTCATTAATTTGTTAAACATCAAGTATTGTGTTCATGAAAGTTAGTGAAGACTTCAACACAAATAAAGAATTTCAAATGTTTTGTGCCATCAGATGGGAATAGGATAGTGTGAAATAGTAACCAGCTTACATCGCTTCTTAATGCAGAAGTTGCTGTTAACCGATCTGCTGGATCAATTGCAAGTAGTGTTTCGATCAACTGCAGTGCTGATTGTGGAAAATCCTTAAACGTCTCTCTTATTCGCCTTTTGTACGGTTGCTGAGGCTTAAATATTGTAGCATGAGGCAGCTTTGACTTTTTCCAATATTCTTCTGTTGGTGAGCCACACAACTTAAAAATTTTATGCAGCTGTTCCACCTAAAAGTGACAGACATGACTAGATCAGTGAAACATGGAAGATAAAGGCAGTTTCTATTCATCGGGTTGGATGGTATGGACAACATTAAGTGCACAAACAGTGCAACAGGTCATAGTTGAATCAGATACAGAAGACTGGATGCAAAATGAAATAAAGCATGGCAATTTTCAAAAAAAAAAATGGACAGGAAGCATGGAAATGAATGCTGAAACACGTGGCAATAATCAGAATTTCGAGGAAGATAAATTTTTCACGAGAGATATTGCTGGGCAGACATTTTCTATGCTGGCATGATTCAGTTAGAGTGGTTTGTTATACAACAGAAACTACAGAGGAGATGTTTCATAAAGAAATACACAAATAATAAAAAATGAATCTTTCTCCTGTGGTTTCTTCTCACAAGTCACACTACTATGATGAACAAGGGTATTTTCGGTTTTCACCTCGTCATGCCTGGAATTGAACATGGGTGAGGAATGGGAAGCAAACTAACCAACTCACTGCAGCCCCATCACCTACCATACCATCGGCAAACTCAAAAGTCAAAATGGGAAATTTTCTCCAAATATATAACAGAACTACATCAATCCAGAAATGATTCTGAGGCAAGCTACGTTTCACTGGAATGCAGTCAGATGTAAAGTATATCTAATTGAGATTGTGAGGTTAAGAACTTTATGCCAACCTCTGTTCGTCCTGGCATAATTGGCCTCCCAGCGAGCAACTCGGCCAGGATACACCCTGCGCTCCACAGGTCCACACCCACCCCGTAATCCGTTGCGCCGAGAAGTAGCTCGGGTGGCCGGTACCATAGGGTCACCACCCGGCTCGTCATCGGCTGTTTACGGTCTGGGTCGAAGAATGACGCGAGACCAAAATCTGCAATCTTCAGCATGCCATTGTTGTCCAAGAGCAGATTCGAGCCCTTGATGTCGCGGTGCAGCACCCCGCGGTCGTGGCAGTGCTCCAGACCCGACAGCAACTGATGCATATAGCACTTGACCTGCATTCCATTCATGCGCTGTGAGTGCGTGAAGCCGATGGCACCCAGCGGATGCAGTGCGGGAACGGTGGTTGGGGATCTCGGGGACCTGTGGCTCAGTGAACTTGATTTCCGGGCTGGCGGCGAGGCCCGCGAGGTCGTGCTCCATGTACTCGAAGACGAGGTAGAGGCTGCAGGACATGCGGGAGGTGACGAGGCCGTCGAGCTTGACGACGTTGGGGTGGTCGAGGCGCCGGAGGATGAGGATCTCGCGGGCCATGAAGCGGACGCTCTCGGGCTCGAGGTTGTCGAAGCGCACCTTCTTGAGCGCCACGATCTTGCCGCTCACCGTGTCGCGCGCCTTGTACACGTTGCTGTACGTGCCCTGGCCGATCTGCCCGGCGGCGCAGCCCACAGAGATGCACACAAAGCTTCTGTCAGCTCCCAATGGCGGCACCACGAACCGCGGGCGTGGGGACGGGGGAATGGGAGGGCGCGCGAGCGTACCTTGTCAATCTTCTCGAAGGAGTCGGCGCGGCGCGGGGTCCATCCGTCGATGGCCTCGCCGGCGACGGCGGAGAGCCAGGCGGGCCAGCCGGCGGCGACCTGCTCCCCGCGCGCCCTGTTGGCGAAGCTGGGCCCGGGCCCGCTGCGCGACGAGCGGGAGCGCCTCTCCCGCCGGGCCGGCTTCTCGGCTGGCGCTGCCGGCTGCTCGGCCTTCCCGGCGGCCTCCTGCGCCGCCGCCGCGGGGGCCGGCGGCTCGGGCGGCTGCGGCGGGTGGTCGGGGCTGGGCGCGGAGGGGCGGCCTTGGACGCAGCCCATGGGGGTGTTGCTGGTCACCGGCGGCGGCTCATGGGGCTGAGGGTGGGGATTGGGGAGGGGGAGTGGAGCGGAGCGGGCGCGAGGGAGTGTGGACCGGGCAGGGGGACCGAGACCGAGAGGAGAGCTGGCAGTGCGCCTGTGCCTTGCTGTGCCCGTGCTCCGGACTCCGGAGGAGGGTTTGACTCTCTCAGTTTCAGCTGCTGAAAGCTGATGGGTCTCTCTCGTTTTGTCTCGGTGTCCGTCCGGATCATGCCTCGCTCGCCTGGACATGACATGATGTGGATGTGCTCATGCGGCCCATGCCATGTGAGGCTAGAGTGAAAACATGGGCAGACCTTTTGCCGGAACAGATGGATTACCTTTTACCCATAAAATAGCTCGTTGATTTTAGCTTGGTTATTTAGGCTCTGTTCGTGTGCCTTAAATCTGGTTTAATTCGTTTATTTTTTTTATCTAAAATAGTGTTTTTCTTTCATAAATTTCTCTAGAATTCTTCTAAGCGAACGGCGTCTTAGACTTTTGGTTTGGTTGCTTTATTTTATTTTTGTGTTTTCTGCACGGCTTTGCCTTTCAACTTTGCTCGACTTCCTTTTATCCGGAAACAGCGGGACAATCAGTGCAAGGGACGAATGCTTCGCCACCACGTACTGTTGTACATTGGCAAATATTAATGCCAGTAGTGTTAGAGCATCTCTAAAAGTTTGCTATCTCAACTTGGCATCAAAAAATAGCCTCCAATAGTTTGGCAAAATAACTTGGTATCAATAGCAACTTGACAAATCTTCCCTCCGCGCGCGTATACGGCTTGGCATCCGGGGCTCTTCGTTTCTTAGCGGGGCTCTTCGTTCGCTTAGCGGGTCTCTTTGTTTTGTTAACTGGTTTTTTTATTTTACCAAGTCAAAAATGTCAAACTCTTGGAGATGGATTGTTTTTTTACTTGGCATATAATTTTGGGAGTTGGCAAATCACAAGATTTGTCAAGTAAAATTTGACAAACTCTTGGAGATGCTCTTATGTGGCTCAAATATGAAGTCATAAAAGGTACTCTAATGAAAAAAAAAGGCTCTCTCTTGTCTTGTATATATTTTTTGTATAAGGGTATAGAGCTCGGGCACTGGTTAAGGGTCCGTTTGGTTCGGCTGTTGTGATACATGGAAAAACTATTGTGAAAAAAATTATAAATTGTTTAATTGAATCAATTACAAAATTTACCTCTTCTCTCTATCTCTCTTAAAATGGTTATGAAACATCTCTCTGTTCCCACCTATTTGTAAAAGCGGAAAACTGAAAGTATGGCCCAAGGTGCTACAAAAATTGTACTATGCGAAAATAGCTGGTTTTGAAACTAAGTCTATTTACGGTTTTACGGATAACCCACCTTACATCCCTGGTGGCCGAGGTAGGAGGAATACTCGGGGAAACATTTCTATGGTAGCGGCACCATATGACATTCGGTCTGAATTTGTGCATGTGGTTAGTTTTAGACAGTGGCGAGCCTAGGACCCAACGATCCTGGGCGCGGCCTAGACTCCATCATGGGCACAGACTAAGATATTTGTTGCATTGCACCTCACTAAGGGGCCGTTCGGTTATTCCAGAATGAAAGTAGAAACCAATCTAGCTGATGAATTGTTATACAAATTATACAATCATTTCACTCATGAATAATTCCATGCCATGAATCCGAAACAACCCAACAAGCCCTAGAAGCTTAAAAACACGCAATCTTATCGACGCCAAACATTTCGCTCAAACTCTACTCGGAACAGTGGGTCCACTGCTGGTTTTAGTTTCAGATCAAAGGTAGCACAAGTGACATAAGGAAAAAAAAAGAATCCCGAAATGTTATGCAAGGCCCTAACGATTGTTGCTTCAAGATTCATAGCGCACGCACCCAATTCTCCTCCTTCTATTATTTTAACAAATAAAAAAGGGTCTCTCCATTTTCTGAACAGACGTCCCAGGAGGACACGACTGTGAACTATCTGGTCTCTGTGCTACCAGAGTACCAGACTACCAACCCTTCGTTCCTCTTTCGGTTGCAAAGAGTCGGTCTGTCAGTCGCTCCGTACCTCTCTCTCTCCATGTTGCTTCGGCTGCTCACACAAACCTTTGCTTGCCATGGCTCGTTGCTTTGACCATGAGCATCTGTCTCCCTCTTTTTGACGTCAACCATGAGCATCTATCTGTTTGTTTGGTTTACTGCTGTCACCGAATCGTCCTCCCTTTCCAGCGGGCAGGAACAGTTGATGCAAACTTTTCCGGACAAGTTGCCGCTGTGCTGCGCCATGAAAAGGCACCCTGCCTGCCAATCTTCTCCTGGAGCACGGCACAGTCTTGTTGTTTTTAGGAGCCAAAACAAACATATTATCTGTATATGACACCAAATAAGTATACTATCTTCTACAAATTTAATTAAATTTAAAAAAAAATTGATTTTGTTCAAATATAGAATTGTATTTTCCTTGGGACAGAGTAAATCACAAAATAACATACTGTTGCACAGGGGAATCATTCATTCACCTAATATTCCAAAACAAATCAACAATGATCGGGGTTGTTTAATGGTGCAATGCAAGGTTGGTTTCCAACTTTTTGTTAGCTTGATGATGCGACCGCACGTTGGAACTTAGGTAGATGATTCAAACATCACATAGGAGTAAGAGGCAACCTCAAGTAGCGAAGTGCCCCATGTTAAATGGTTTTCGGTTTTACACAACACATGCTAGACGAATGCTCTACTCCAATGATTTGTGATGATGGGTCACAAAATTATGTACCACCAGATCAACTAACAACAAGAATGGTGGCGAATTACTGCCATCAAGCAACAGGGGGCGCAATGCTGTCGCTGCGAATATAGCTTAGACCTCTCCACGCTAGCAGGGGTACATAAAAAACTTGCATTTTTTTTTGAAAGGGTAAATTTCATTTAAACCTTAAATACAGATTATATAGATGGGGAAAAAACCATTCAGGGCATGTTTGGAACGTAGAAATCGTGCAGGAATTTACACGAGAATCAGTTCAATTTCACTGGGAAAACGCAGGAACAGAAAATATATCCCGTGTTCCAAACAAGTCCCTGAAAGTTTTACGAGCCATCTAAATAGTATAATTTATAGAATGGGTCAAGACTCACAATAGAACAAGCAAAAACTAAGAATCAAAACCTGCCTTGCTTTTTTGCTAAATTATGAGCCACTGAATTTGTCTCTGCCTATTTTGATCATGCATGAGACCTCTGCTTGCAGGTTCAGGTCAGCATTGTGCAATCTCTCCAGTATTGACCTCTGCTTGCAGGTACATTAGAAACTTGCATGTGGCATCTCTCAACATTATGGGTGTGTTTGGTTAGGTGATCAACCTCTAACCTGGCTCCTGTAGCTAATTTTATCAATTTTGGTTGCCTAGAAGTGGGCTAGAGCCTCACTAGGGCTAGTCATCCGTACTGCTGGAGCTAGGTCAGACTTAGCGGGTGTTTGGTTCCTCCTTCTAAATTTTAGTCGATGTCTCATCGAATGTTTGGACACATGCATGGAGTATTAAATATAGACTAATTACACAGTTTACGACTAATTTGCGAGACGAATCTTTTAAGCCTAATTAGTCCATGATTTGACAATGTGGTGCTACAGTAAACATGTGCTAATAGCGGTTTAATTAGGCTTAAAGAATTCGTCTCGTGAAGTACCAATATATTATGTAATTTATTTTTTTATTAATATTCAAACACCCTATATAACACCCTCATTTGACAGCTCCTCAAATTTAGTCGAGGGATCCAACCACCCCTTAAAGCCCAAATCGGCCGTTATGGAGCGAGTCCCGAGCCAGCCCCGTGCTCCCTTCTGGTCACCGCCCCGCCCTCACCTACCGTGCCCTACCGTGCCCTCTGCTCGTCTGCTCGCCTCGCTCGTCTCCAGCGGCCCTCCCCGCGCCATCTCCGGCGTCCCTCCCCACTCGCCTCCACCACGACGGCCACGGCGCGGGCTCGCCACCGGCCTCGACGCCGAGCAGCGGGCCGGCCGACTGCTACCGTCCGACGGACTAGATGCGTCGGCCAGATGCGGGGTGCCGAAGCTCGCCATCTGCTCCTTCGCTCGTCTCCGGCGGCCCTCCCTGCTCGCCCACCACACGCTCCACCCACGACGACGGCCGCGGCGCGGGCTCGCCACTGGCCTCGACGCCGAGCAGCGGGGCGGCCGGCTGCTGCCGTCCGACGGACCAGAGGCGCCGGTCGGCTGCGGGGTGCCGAAGCTCGCCCTCTGCTCCTCCGATGGACCTTGTGCTCGCGACCTCGCGTCCGCGTCAGCTCCCCTCTTCCACCTCGTGCTCGCGTCCGCTCCCTCATGGCGTCGCCTCCACCTCATGCCGGCCGCCTCCATGGCATCGCTACTCATCGCCGCGGGGGCGAGCAGGGAGAGGCGGGCGCTGCCCAACCAAACCAGAGGCCAGCGTCGAGTCCTCCTGCGCACCCCCCACATGCTCCGCCGCCGGACGAGCTGGCAGCGGCCTCCTCCACCGCCGGCGTGTGCGCAGAGCTCCCTCCTGCGGCCTCCTCCACTGCCGGCGTGCGCGCAGAGCTCCCCCCCTCCCCCCGCGGCCTTCCTCCACCGCCGGCGTGCGCGCAGAGCTCCCTCCCACCGTAGCAGTCGCCGAAAATTGTCGCTCGCGCCATGCCACCACCATGCACTTAACTGTTCGACAGAACGTCTAAAAGAGGTAAATTCTCTAGCTCCAGGAAGGGGTGAGTGTATTCAAGCCAAACCAGCTATCCGAACACACTCAAACTTAGCCACAAGTAACTGTTGGCTTGAGCTAGACAGGCTAAGTCTGGCATGGCTCAGAAAGCTAGCCCGGCTTAGAATTGAACGAGAACCAAACACACCCGTATATTACAGTTACCAAAACACGTTCAGGTCAGCATTTAGCATGGAAGGTCTCTCAGCTGCACAGTTACCATGAACAATCATCATACAAATTTATGAGGTTGCAACATCAAAACTTAAATTCCATCATCATCCAGATCATACTAATTTATGAGGTTGCAACATCCCATCATCATCCAGATCGATGAAGTACTTGAATACTAAGCCGGGTCCAAAAAAAAAACTGATCTCAATATGGTGATACCCATTTTACAGAACAGCTGAGTCGCAGCCTTTGGTACCCGTACATTCTCTACCTGTGAATGCCTCACTCATCATCAGCACTCATCATCAGCATGCTTTTTCTTCTTTTTCTTCTTATCTTTCTTACCAGACTCTTCGGTTTGCATTACAACATCCTCACCATCAGCATCAGACTTCTTTTTCTTCTTCTTCTTCTCACCTTCTGAGGCAGCAGCCACAGCAGGCTCATCCTCGGCCTCCTTGGACTTCTTTTTCTTTTTCTTCTCCCCATCACCTTCAACAGCAGGAGCCTCCTCGCTTTCCTTGGACTTCTTCTTCTTCTTCTTCTTCCGGTCCTCCTGGTCACCATCCTCCTGGATTGCTTCATCTGCAGGCTCTGCTGATGGTTCAGTTTTCACCTCATGATGTTTCCTCTTCTTTGAAGCCAATTCTGACTTCTTTGGTGTTTCTTCAGCAAGTACCAGATCAGCTGCAGGGTTGTATGTCTAAAACAAAATCAAAGCATCAAGTCAAAACAAGATCATGCGTGCAGTATCTATAGAGAAAAATATAATGCAACCAAAGGAGTGTTTGCCTAAAGAAACTTCAAGCAAAACCAACGGGAGACCTTTTTACAGTAAAAAATTAAAACAGTCCAAAACTAGAACATTCCAAGGTTCTGACAAACATATTTCTTGAAGGGCTGGGCAAATTTCAGCCCAACCATATATTTCTTGAAGGGCCGGGCAAGTTTTCAGCCCAACCCATTCATTATCCGAAAGCCTTCTCAGATATTTTTTTTTCATGGAGAGCAAGATGCCATAAGTCATAACACTGCTTACCTTAGCAGGAGTTGTTAAAGCCCCAGCACCCTTCTTCCGGTCCTTTTCATACACTTCTATCTTGGGCTTCCCCTTTGTGGAACCAGCTGATTTCCCAAGTTCTCTATTCTCAAGAACTTGAAGCCGTGTCTCGAGCTGTTCAATTGTCATGTGTCACAAGGCAGCGTATATCATACTAATTATGAAAAGCAAAATCATTTCCACAGTGCGCATACCTTGAGTCGACTCTCAGTACCAATGGAGTTGTCCTCACCATCACCAAGGGCATCATATCGGATGGCCAGAGCAGTTTTTGCAGCAAGAGAACGAGAGATTTTTCCCTTGTGCTTTTGAGAAGCCTTCCCAATTAAGGATGCATGGTAGATGAGGCCATACTTAGGTGTAGAATGCTTCGTCTTCAGAGCTCTGAATAAAGCCTGGAGAGAAACACAATCTTTAGTTCTTAGCAAAGAAAGCAAATTCTAGCAGACAGCATAATAACTAAATAATGTTAACACAAGCCATCAATTGACATCACTAAGACATTATTAGAGAACAAACAACTTTTTAAAAAAAAAGAGGTCATGAAACAAGAAATTCACATGTTTCGCGAGATCTTAGATAATTCTAGCAGACAACATAAGCAAATAATGTTCATGTATGCCATACAAGGCGTTGTTGCACACAAAAGAGGTGGAAATTGAAAAAAAAAATAGTTTCCAGAATCATCCATCCACAGGTAAACAAACCTTCTCCGCACCAAGTATCTGAATTGTGCTACCAGGCTGCTTAGCCAAATTTAGCAAACTTCCACCATGCGCAATAAGGCGAGCACCAACTAATTCGCCCACCAGTGCTGTCAGATTTGGTGCGATAGTGTTCATCCTGCTTTTTAAATAGTCATATAGCTGGGTTCTGTACTCAGAAAGGGCCAACACTTGATCGCATAGCTCTCTGATATTTGACAAGTCAAGGTCACTAACTTCTGTTCCCATGGATATTACTGCTGCCTCCTTTAGCTGTGTTTCTATCTCTTCATCTGACAATATCTGAAAACAACAGAGCTTCTTACTAAACAATTTCCTTAATAGGAATTGTAGATCATATTTAGATGTCAATAATCACCTCAGAAAAGTCAAGGTTGACTGCATTAGCTCTGTTGCCCATCATCTTCACAACTTTGGCATACTGTATATTATCTGTAACTATTTTGGTGAGTTCTGGAAAGTGCCAGCCATACCATTCACGAACTCTCATGGCGTAAGTGTTAAGCTCCTTGTCAAGATCATCCAATAATCCAATCGCTTGAATGATCATGGTATCAACCTGTGTAACAGAAACAATACAAAATTCACCTAACAGATTGAAATTGTTTCTTTAATAACAAAGATCTAGAAGAATCTTCAATAGTCAAAACTTGCAGGATGTTACATATTATGAATGTGGCAAAAGTAAGATAACATAGAAACACCAACAGGCAATCAAAGGATAAATATGCAAGTACAATATGGAAAACGGTAATTACATGCAAAGCACAAATGATGATGACACAATAAAAGCCAGAAACAGAGCATATAACAACATGGTAGATAAGATTGCCAGTAGCACCCATATAAGACTCACCTTCTCAGGACTGAACTTCAGCTTATACCTAGACAAGCTGTGGGACAATCCCAAGCTCATTGGACCAAGGTCTTGTGCACCCAACCCAGTTATAAGCTCGGTGAGCTGATTTCTCAGCCCTCTCATCAGCTCCATCACAGCACTATTGTGAAGGCAGTCAATTTTCTGCAATGCAATAAAAATGTAATGAGGGGTGGTCATTCACAAAAAGTAACAAATTGAGAAATACTACTGACCAGCTTTTCTTTTATAGCATTTCCAAGCTTAGAATCAGCAACTGCCAATGTTTCACCCTCGCAATGTTTCTGCAAGAACTTGCGCAGACCCTTGCTAGGCTTGCTATCAATAATCAGGGTTGCCGCAGATAGGGCATCAGATGTGTTCTCAAACTTGTTGAAAGCCTTCAGCTCAACCACCTACAAGAAAGTCCACAGTTATTAGTCAGAACAGAAAGCTAATAAAGGTGATGCTAAGAATATAGCTAGGACGACTCATCATGTTTTCTTCTTTTTTTTCTTTTTTGCATTTCAACGGAAACAGTAAGTCTGTTAGGGGACACAGTATGAATGGTTTCTGAATGGCATCATCCATTGTGTGCAGATAATGGGTATCAGCATGAAACAGCACGCAAAATCTCTAGCCGCTTCGTAGCTTGAAATGTGAAATGTTTGAAATAGCTTACAGAAAACACATTCTAAAACATATCCAGCTAAGCCAACCTAAGCTAAGTAAAAGTTCATATTCTAGTGGCTACAACCAGTGTTCCAACGAAATAAATGAGTTAAATTGATGCCATTTGTTCAAAACTGACAAACGCAGAATGTCATAACGTGTCAGATCCTACGCTGGGACTATGGAATGGAAAAATAAAAAACCGTTTGTGCTCCGAACTTCTGAAGGTTAAGAGAATCACAAACCTTTCTTGCTGAGTCCGACGTCGTGAACTCCTTCCATAGATCCTGCCAACAACAAGAACACAAAGGTGTAGCACATTAGCACTGATAACTCAAAAGAAAAGCACGGAGCAGACCAAATTTAACGAACCCAATCAAAACCAGACTTTGAAATCGCAGCGGCGGTCACTCACCTCGACCTTGTCGAGCTTCCCCTCGTCGAGCACCTTGAATAGGGCGAAGCCCGCGGGGGTCTCGAAGAGCACCAACATCTCCGCCCACAACCAGTCCCCCGATAAACTCAGCTGAAACAACAGATACCACCGAATGAACGCCCATGGGACCAAATTAGACAGAGGAATACGTGGGCCAACCGAATCGGGCTGTTGAGACGGCAGAAACCCTCGAACCTGGGGGAGATTCGGCGGTGGACAGCGCGGTGCGAGGCGATGAGGGGGTTTCGCCTGCGGCGGCCGCGAGACGAGAGGGGGTGGGGGAAAGGTAGCCGCCGCAAGGGTTTTAGCTCTGCTAGGGCTTGGGGCTGGAGTAATATATCGGAGAGGACAAAGGGGCTCGGTGGCCCATCTGGCCGTTGGCCGAGCGGGACCGTGCCGCTGGGCCGTTGGATGGTTTGTCTGGAGTTTTAGGTTACCGGGACTTGTGGAGTGGTCACGAGCTGGTGGCGGATGCCATCAAGTAGCATAGCAACATGAGGACGGACGACACCGACGGAGAAAACCAGTGCCACCGACTCACGGCCTTTCGATGCAGAAGAGCCAGCCAAAAAAATCGGTGAGGACCATATCTACCACGACAACGTGCGGATATATGCTGACACATGACCTATGGGGGTAATTCAATCACCATGCGGACATTTAAAATGATATTGTAGCCAACATTTCAGATGCATAGTCCTCACCATTTTTTTTTCTAGAGCCAGGACGCAGAGCCCTTCCTATGCCGCTTGCGACATGCTGCCCTCCCCGCCCTTCTAGCCTGCTGCCTGCACCCCTCCCATGCCTCCGTCGCGCTGGCGTCCCCCACTCACCCATCCTCGATTGATTCTTAGCATCTAGGTTCTCTCTCACAACGATGGGTTGAGAGGAACGAAAATGTAGAACACGTAGGATGCCACATTTTAAAGTCATGGTACAAAGGACTATACGTATTTATATTGTTTGTTTGAGAGATGGAACATATGCTTACCATGATTGGAACAATGTTCTCGGAACGGGGAACATGTTTCATTTTGGTAATGCGTCTCGAAGCAACTAATACGAACTTGTTTCACTGTAGCTCATTAGATTTTCATCTAGTGTCCATATAGTAGTTATGTAAACAACACAAGGCATCGAGTCGAATTGCATGGTAAGGGTGAGGAAATTGGCTAGTGCAAGCGTCCTAGCTAGGCCCTGTTTGATGTATCAGTTAGAAAATACCCTTCGTGAGAAGTTATACAAACGAAAGAAAAGTATGGTCAAATAAGCTAGTATGACCTATCTTTTGCATTTTAGTAAAAATAGAGATAATGAAAAGCGTGGTCAGGAAATAATGCAAAAAACATGTTGTTTGGTTTCAAGTTTCAACTTATTTTGGTTATAAACAACTTAACAGGGCTCTGGACTCGTAGTATTGTTCCTCCCATTCATATGTTCAATCTGGGTCAAGTTCCAACCTGCATTTAGAATGATGTTTCATGTTATTTCCATTTCTCATCTGTGAATGGAGTTCTCAAAATGTGAAAAGAGACCATGTTCCACATGATAAGGTTGCTAAGGGTTGATCACATACTCGCAAGCGCGATGTAGATTACATGACCCATAGATATCATCACGAAGGACGAATACGGTCTCTTGAAAATGTGCTATGAGGATGCGAGGTCAACTACTTGGAGTCTAGAGTCTAGATGAGGTACAAAACAGTTAAAAACCTCATTACATACGGGATTCATTTGTACATGATGAGTAAATCAATCTGTAACACAATTCACTAACAACATTGATGTTGTAACCTTTCTTCTCGAACTTGTAACACGAGATTTGATTGATTTTTATGTTGCTTTTGTTAGCATTTTTTTGAGTCATGACTAGAACTTGTAGATAATAAATGCTCGTATGCATATAACTAATAGAGACAAAAATAAAGACTACTGGCCGTCTCGACCCCGCCCTCTTCTCAGTTGACGGCAGCCTTCCTCTCCGACCATTGCCTCCTCTCCCGCTGTCCCCGGCCACGGAATACCTCGCCACCGGTCGTCTTGACCCCGCCTTCCTCCTCGTCCTCACCCCCCACACCGCCCACTGCCCCACCGCGGCGTGCTAGGGTTTAGGGTCTAGGGCTCCCCCGTCACCCCTAGCCACCGGATACCTCGCCACCGGGCGTCTCGACCCCGCCCTCCTCCTCCTCTTCCTCGCCATCGCCACCGCGCGCTAGGGAAAACGGTGACTCACACAAATGCGCCTTATTAGGCGACTGCAGTCAAGTATTTCTGTATAAAAAACAAGATGATTTTTGTAATTTTGCCAACAAAGTGAGTAAAAGTAGGCTGCGTGGGGGAGCACGTACATATCCGGTTCTCTCGCCTACATGCCTTCGTGCTCGTATTAAAAAAACATCCAAATGTGCTAAAAATTCCAAGAACAATATAAATGGATGGATGATGAAAAGTTCTATGTTCGTATAAAATTTGAGATGCAACAAAAAATTATACAGGGAGAATAAAAAAGTGGAACCAGCACTTTAGTGCCAAATCCGCAGCTTTTCATGTGCTGATTTCACTTTGCTGTATCTTCTTATATAGATTTTGTTGCATCTCAAATTATATATGAACATAGAACTTTTTATAATCTATTCATTCATATTATAGTTGAATTTTTTTGACCATATTTGGATGGTTCTTTTTAAAATCGGAACACGAGAACTTGGCAAGGGGTTTGTAGTCGGGTGGAAGACTGGAAGGCATCGAACTATGGAAGGGAGGAAATCGTCACTGCTGACATCACCAGGCTCCCGCAGGTTCCTCTGCTTCCGAGCTGTCAGCTGTCCCATCTGCACCAACGGCTGCATCTCCCGCCGGGTCGCACAGCATGACAGCAGATCTTCCCGCCAGACAGGTGCACCTCCTTTCCCGATCCCCGTCCCCATCCCGTCCCCGTCGAACCGTGGCGAAGCTGCTGCTCCGTGCCTTTTGTCCTTTCCACCCCAACGGCCCTACCCTCCCGGGCAATGCGACGCCTTCTGGCTCCCCTCTCCGAAAGCGACCACACCTCCCGCCTGCATCGCTCCTCGCCACGACCGAGGGCCCCCGCTCCTTGCGCGCGTAGGTACAACGACCTTCTCCCTCGTCCCTTGTGCCTTCGCCAATTGCCATCACGTCGAGAACGAAAAAAGAGCTTCTCGCGGCAAAGACGCCGTCCCCTCACGAGTCGCGCGCTGTGCCTGTAAGGGGTCACCACTCACCGGTCACGTACACCCGATGCGGTGACAGGGTAACCAACGAGATCACGGGACACCTGTCCAGCGCCGACGGCCGGCAAAGCTTCGCACCTTCGCTGGGAGTCGCCGGGCGGACAAGTAGCAGTGCACGGTAGAGCCGTAGAGGCAGGGGCGAGCCTCTCGGCTCTCGCCCTCCGCTCTCGCTCTTCCGTCCTCGTCGACGTCGTGCGTGGCGCCTCCCTTTCAGTTTGTCCCTTTCCGCATTTACGGCGCTCACGCTTCTCGATCCAGTCCAGTCTCCGCCACCTTCTTATCCCCCACGCAAAGTCCGGTCGGGGCAAACGGAAGCGAAACAGGGCCCGTCTCTCCCTCCACTCCGCAGACTGCATCTCATCCTCTAGCTCAGTCTCACGATCCAGTAGTTCACTAGCGCTTGTCATCGCAAGTCCAACGGCATGGGTGAGGGTGAGGGTGAGGACGACCAGCGGAACCAGATGCTGGGCACGGGCCGGGACCATGAGCCGGAGCGGGCGGAGGCGGAGCCGGAGGAGGGCAAGAGACCTGGGCCCGGCGAGGTGGAGGCCGGCGGCGACGGGACCGGCACCGGCACCGGCACGGCGGCGGCGACCTGCGACTACTGCGGAACCGCGGCGGCGGCGGTCTACTGCCGCGCCGACTCCGCCAGGCTCTGCCTGCCGTGCGACCGCCTCGTGCACGGCGCCAACGGGGTCTGCTCCCGCCACGCCCGCGCCCCGCTCTGCGCCGACTGCCGCGCCGCCGGGGCCGTCTTCCGCCGCGCCTCGTCCTCCGCCTTCCTCTGCTCCAACTGCGACTTCGGGAGGCACCGTGATGGCGGTGACCCACCGCTCCACGACCGCTGCGCCGTGCAGCCCTACTCCGGGTGCCCTCCGGCGGGCGACCTCGCGGCGCTCCTCGGGGTGCCCCTCTTCGACAAGCCGGCCGCTGAAGATGGTGCCTGGTGGGACATCTGGGAGGAGCCGCAGGTGCTGAGCTTGGAGGATCTGATCGTGCCCACCACCCCTTGCCATGGATTCGAACCTCTCTTAACGCCGTCCTCGCCCAAGGTAGTACCAATACCTTCTTCCCATATATCACTGCCCCACTAAATTTTAGTCATGCCTACGTTATATTCTTCCCATGTATCACTGCCCCACTAAATTTTAGTCATGTCTACGTTATACTCTGACTTGTCTGATCTAAATTCTCAACTGGTTATCCGATCCACAAGAACCGGAGCATCTCACCGGACGGGAAGATGAACGAGGAGATCCTTAGGCAGCTGGGGGAGCTCGCAGAGTCTGATGGCGGTGTGCAGGCATCAGCAGGTCGTGACGAGGCAGAGCAAGCTGGTGGAGATCAGTTCCCTTCCTGGGCGTCGCCACAGTATGCCACTGGACATGGCAATTTTGGAACAGAGAACAACCACGAGGTTGCAACCATGCCTACTCCTCTTTACGAGGTTTGATCTGCGGACTTGAATCTCTTCTATGACGGATTACCCCCGTTTTTTACAACCTAAAACTATGGATGTAGACATGTAGTAAGGATCTTTCACTGCATTTGTTCACCCATTGAGGAGGCATTGAGAGACAGCATCGTTCAGAAACTTATACCTAGACAAGTTAGTGTCTGAAGCATTTCCATTTGAATGGCAGAAACCATAGATGGCATATTCTACAACATATATATTTTTTTTCTCAAAACGTGCTTTGCATTAAGTCATACCTATCTGATGAGGGATATATTCTGATCGAAACTGCCTCAGTCTCATGACTTCAGCATACATCTCACGGAAGTAAGGAAGTGAGCAGTGAGTACCCATGCTGTTCACAAACTATGGATGAAGTCAGTACTTATAGAAGTTATGAAAAATCTTGTTATTCGCAAAACATGTGGTTTCTTCTCACTGGATAAAAAATTCCAGTAAAATTTTTGCCACAGCATCAATCAAAATTCAAAAACTATGCAAGGGAAGATAGTGTCTGAAGCATTTCCTATTGTATGGCAGAAACCATGCATATTCTTCATCATATGCTTAACACACTTTCCATTGAGTCATAGCTGTCTTGAAGAGGGACATATTCTGAATCTGAGGTTCCTAGTGTCAACAGCTCGACACAACACTTTGGAATCAGAAAGAAGTCACTGTAGTTAAGAATCTTGCAAATTCCATTTGGATAACTGGAATAAGACCAGAATAACTTGCTTATGATATATTGATACGGTTCTATTGCTCCCTTTTTCTCTTTTCTGGCTATACCATCAAAAGATTCGATTAATAAACCTGAAACAATGATTTGATACTGCCATAGTTTCACACCTCGTTCAGGAAGTAGTACTGCTACATGCTGTGGTTGAACTTAAATGTACACTTCCTCTCAGTGCTCATACTTCTGTACACGGTGCTTACTTATTTGGACACCAATTAACAAGCTGTTTTTTTCTGGCTGGCAGAATGGCAGATGGAATAACTGTGATTTGGATGCCCTAAATGATGCATGCAAGGTCGAGGTCGCATATGATCAGGTTCCAGTCAGCTCAGCTGAACCGTGCTTGTCATCATTTGCTCCATTGTCGGAAATCTGTCCCAGCATGAGCAATGGTAATAGTATGGAGGACAACCACCAGGCTAATCCTGGCATTGGCATGCCCATGCAAGGTCTACCCAAAAGGACTGGCTTTGATGTTGTGCCTTGCCCTGATCGTGACTCGGTCATTTCGCGCTATAAAGCAAAGAGGAAGACAAGAAGGTGAGATATGGATATGCCATGACATGATTCTTGTTTTCCCTGACAAGGAGCGGTAACTTGTAATGTACATAACTGTGCTGCAATGGAACTCCTGCAGATTTGACAGGCAGGTCCGGTACGAGTCGCGCAAAGTTCGTGCTGATGGCAGGCTCAGGATCAAGGGGCGTTTTGCAAAGGCAAACCAGACATGAACCTAAATTTGCAATATGCTAAGCATCTTCCAGCACGAAGAAGAAAATTGATTAGGGGCGATTCCGCGATTATAATGCATAAATGTGCCAGAATTTTGTTTGCCTTAAGTTCAATAGCTGATAACCATAGCTTCATATACAGTGGAATGATGTGTGTATATTGCTGTCGTGTGACTAGTGGTTACACTACTTTGAGAGATCAAACACCTGTATATAGTCCTACACCTACATAGTATGTGATTTTGTCATGCTGGAGATAATAATAGCACCGTTATGTTTGGTTTGGTGTAGTTATTAACTTATTATGCAATTTGATTTCCACTGCAAAAGCTTCTTTCACTGATGAGCAATGAACAACGTTGTAATGCAAGAACTGAGAAATATGTTAACATGGGATGGTGGAAATGTGGAATCTGTTAAGACGAATAATTCATATTCTGTGGTGTGAATTTCTTTCAACAATTCAACAATCGTGGAATTATATTTTTCAGTGTTTACTGTTAAGAAACAGTGGGCGAAACACATATACTGTGTGCAGACAAGATTTCAGCTTCTTTGAACCAACAATGATTTTGAGACAAACAAAATTTCTCTTCCTTCAAATCAGAGAATCATTATACTATGGTACAATCGAATCGCGAGTTGTGTTTGCATCATGTGAAGTCAAAAAGCTCACCTTTCTACAAGTTACATTGTCGGCATAGAATTTACAAGTTCCTTTCTCCCGGAAAGTGACAATGGAGAAGGCCTAGAAGATGGTCTGCTCGCCGAGCTCCTGTCCCGCCATCCCTTCCCTTATCACTCTTTGGAAGAACTGCTCGAGCGTGTCCTTGCCGTAGCTCGGCGTCTTCTCGTCGCTGTACTCTCCGGTCTCCGGGTCCAGCAGCAGCATGCTCTCTGAGGCATAGTACCTGCCAATCTTGCCGAACTCGGCGGCGTCCTCCAACCCCGGGAACAGCTTGGCCAGTCCATCGAGCACCCAGATGACGGCGTCCATGATCTGGATGGGCACCTTGATGAACTTGGGCTCGCGCCCGAGCAGCCGGAACAGCATCTCCCCCTGCTCCAGCGGCGTGAGCGCCTTCCCCGGCCCGCCGATGGGCAGCACCTTGTTGGCCTTGTCCTGGTCGTAGATGCAGTCGGCGATGAAGGCGGCGAGGTCCTCCTCGCTGATGGGCTTGCAGGCGCAGAGCTTGCCGTCCCCGAACATGACGTACGGCTGGCCGTTCTTGACGATGTCGACCTGGCCGCCGAGGCTCTTGAAGAACGCCGTGGGGCGCACGACGCTGTAGGTGAAGGCGGGGTCCCGCGCAGCCTCCGCGGCCAGCTCCTCCTCGAACTTGAGCTTGGCGCGCTGGAACTCGAGGAGCGGCTTCTGGACGCAGATGGCGGAGAGGAGAACGAAGTGGGTGGCACCCAGACCGCGCGCGGCCTGGAGCGTGTGCAGCGTGGCGCGGTAGTCGACGCGCCACGAGTCCTGCACGCCGCCGCCGCGGCTGGCGAGGCAGCAAACCGCGGCATGGACGGGGCCATGCGGGGCGAGGTCCGCGAGCATCGCGACCGGGTCGGTGACGTCGGAGAAGACGACCTGGGCCGGGGCGAGGTCCGCGACGACGTCCTCGGGGGAGTTGCGGCCGCGGATGCCGCTCCGGGACCGCGCCACGGCGAGCACGCTGTGGCCCCGGCGGAGGAGCTCCCGGACGACGTAGCGGCCGATGTAGCCCGTGGCCCCCGTGACGAGGACCGTGGTCTCGGAGGCCGGCAGCCCGCGGAAGGGCTGCGCCGCCGGAGCAGGCGCCGGCGGTGAGGCCGCGGAGGAGGCGAGAAGTGGGCCCCGGCCGCGGCGTTGGGTGGCGGTGCCGGGGAAGGAGAGGAACCGGGGAGCGGGGCGGGTGGACGACGGCGGCGTGGCTGTACTGGTGGTTGGGAGGCGGGAGGACAGGAGGAGGGCCGCCATGGCAGTGGAGGCGGCGGTGTTGGACGGAATGCGGGAGGCGGAGCGGTGGGCGACGTGGACGGGGAGGCGGGAGATTTGGGGGTGTGTCAGAGTGCGAGGAGCGGGGCAGCGTTTGTGGCGGTGGCGAGGTGGGGGGGAATCCGGTGGTGTGATCCTTGGTCTGGGACACGGCGGGCGAGCAGAGCAGAGCAGGGCAACGGATGGATCGCATCACATCGGTTGGGAGGGGTCATTTCACTTGCGATCTTTTTTCGAGCAGACAGGAGACGAGGGCGAACTTGGCAGCGTGATTCTGGGCTCAAACCTTTCTCAGCCCATGGGCCGGTTCGCAATCGAGATCCCGCCACAAAAAAACGTGGCCCGTCAGAGCCCAGCGTTCATAATAATCATAATAAAAGCGGAACGCAGTGACTCTTCTGTCTCCGCACAAGAAACCCTAGCATCCGCCGCCGCCGTTGCCTACAACCCTTCGCCTGCTGGCTGTTGTTGCGGCTTATTTCGATCGTTGTCTCTGAATTAGGTTTTCTATATTCTTTTTCGCACCTGCAGGGCGCCGTTTCGTTCCTTGTCTTGTTTTCCTCCCCTGTCGATCCGTTTTCAACGAGGATAGATTTCTCTCGTTTTTTCCCCTGTCGATCCGTTTTCACGTTTCAGTGGAGTTGGATGGATTTCTCTTGGTTTGTTTCTAGAACCGCAAAAGCTTCGCGTGATACTCAAATGCTTATTTTGCTCCCCATCGTTTGTTAAACTACTAGGGCGGTTGCTGGATTGGTTTTCCGTGCGGGTTACTGATTTGAGTGTTTGGTTACCGGTGATGACAGCGTATGGCATGAGTCTCGATAACTATTTTGCGCTTCGGGTGATCTCTTGCCCGAGTTATCGCCGACGAAGATTAATGTGCCAAAATGCTAATCTGAGGCCAAATATGTACTGTAATTTTCTCTTTTTTCTCCAAAAGATGAAGAGACTTCTAATTACCCCAAAAAACTGCTTGTCCCCAAACGGATTTTGTACTGACTGAATTCTCTTTCTTATAATCTATCTACTGTCAATCTTTACAACATCGGTCGATTAAGGGCGATCCACCTCAGAAAAGGTGGGTGTGTTTGAATCCTGGATTTGGAAGGGACGGGTTGCTTGTTCATGTTAGTGGCTTAGTGCTATGATGATGCTGCCGGCTCTAGCTCAGAAGTACACATTCCTCCCAAGACACAAGTGCTATACCGGTAAATCAAAGTGAACTTTTATTTAACATGATAAGATACCATCTATAGTTTTTTATATACACATAGTGTGTTTTAGAGATTAGTCTATACTACATAGTCTCTGTTCGCGTGCCTTTAAACCCGATTTGATCCGGTTTTTTTTTCATCCGAAACAATGTTTATCTCTCACAAATTCCTCCAGTATTTCTCTAAAACCATCCAAATTGCTCCCAGCGAAGAGGCCCATAGGTTTTAGAGATTAGTCTATACATAGATAGCAAGTTAGCAACAATACCGATGCCACATGGCCAAGAAGCAAGTCTGGTTAGGCCTATGGATGAAACATGAAAGGTGTCATTCTCACCAGTTTATGGATGAAATAATGCTTCTAATGTTTCTACAACAGTCCATGGCATAGCGTCATTGATCGAATACACAATCTGATTCCGGTTCATTGCACACTCACACAAAATTTGTAGCTGGCTTGTTAATGGCTTGACTTGGTGCAGCTTGTTTACTTTCTCTAATGAGTTGTGATAGCAATTTAGCTTGTTTAGTTGAATTGGGCCAACAATTTAGCTCGTTTAGTTCACGAGCTAGCTCGAGCAGGCTTGCAAGCCAAACGAAAAAACCAACAAGCACATAACCTCTGATCTTCGTCTGATCGTGAAGCACGTTGTGACTCTTCCCCCCTCATCTCTGACTCATTCTTATCTCCTTTTCTTAGTGACTCCCACGACCACAGTGTCTATCCCCTACGCCTTGCAAATGAAAAAACCAACAAGCACATAACCTCGGATCTTCGTCTGACCATGAAGCACGTTGTGACTCTTCCCCCCTCATCTCTGACTCTTATTCCTATCTCCTTTTCTTAATGACTCCCACGATCACATGTGTCTATCCCTCTACGCCCAATGTGATGGTGCATCATCCGTAGGGAATTGTTCCTAAACAGCAGCTAGAACACATTACTGGTATACCTAACTCTCAGCTGGAACATAGTGCTAGTATGTCTGACACTGCACCACACACCCGTCCCACCTTCGCCCTCCACCATAGAAGCCACCAAGTATAGTTGCTAACAAGCACACACTGGTCACATCATTAACCGGTGCAAGGTACACAATAGCACAAATACGGAACAAAATTGGCGCTCTTTGTCCTTTACCCATACATATGTATTTGTGTATGCTTTGATTCGTTTGTTCAATGGGTGTCGGTGCAGAAAGTGATCCAACAAGTAAATATTTATAATTTTGTCGTACGTTGTGATCGAAGGTGGCCTAGCACTCAATGACACAGGGTTTATATTGGTTCAGGCAACGTGCCCTATATCCAGTTTGAGTCGGTCGATGACTTTATTCCTGAGCCCAGGTGCTCGAAGTTTGCAGTAGGGTTACAAACGGGAAGGAGAAAGATGGGGGTACAAGAGGTCCGGTCGGAAGGGCCGAGAGTGACAAGAGCTCCGCTATGAGCTAAGTGTTCAAGCGTGTGCTCATGGTTTGAACCTGGAGGTTCTGCTGTTATGTGTTAGTGAACTTGATCGATCTAATGAATCTGGAATGACTTGAATCTATCTTGGGAGAGAGCGCATTCCCTTTTATAGATGGAGGAGATGACCTTACAAGTGAGAGGGAGTGAGTTCGTATGCTTCTAAGCCTTGTTGACTACGCTGGCGGCTACGGGATGATGGTAGACACCCACAACACTGTTGGATATCAGATGCATGTGGGAGGTTGCGTCGTCTTGTTCAGGTATGACAGATGTCGGTACCTGCTATACTGTTGATGCCTAGAGGCATGTGAGGAGTTTCACCATGTTCACTCGGTACGATAAATTCTGGCACCCACAACACTGTCGATGCCCAGAGGCATGTGGGGGGAGCCTTACCGTATGGGAGTTAATATCGCCCACAATACTGTAGGGGAAAATGTCGGCGTCTACAATACTGTTTGGGCTCTGTTGTGCTAGGGAGGTTGTAGAGTACTGTTTCTGCAGGTGTACAGGGTACGGTCCCTGGTATCGTGGTTTGATTTGTGCGCTCTGCCTTGCTTTCTCTGTTCGTTCCCTGGTCCTTTTCGAGCAGGCGTCCCTGGTCGGTTGGTCCTAGTCGGTTCTGGTCGCGCCAGTCGGAGAAGAGCCGTGAGCAGGGGTGTGGCACATCCCCGGTCGGAGACGCGGGTCGGAGTCGGAAGCAGCGCTTCGGCCAGGCCTTCCGGTCGGAGAGGCCGTTCGAAGGTGGGCTGGAGATCGAAACGAGTGTTCCAGTCCGAGAGGTGGGCTGGAATCGGAAAGCGGGCGCTGTTCCTCCCCGGCCAGGCCTCCCGGTCGGAGATTCGATCGCCCCTCTGGCCTGTTATTTAGATACTTGGGCTGACCCATGAGTTGTGCGTTGTCTGCTTGGGCCAAGCCTTTGTTGGGAAGCCGGTACCTGAGGGACCCTGGGTTTATGAACCTGGAGCCCGAATCGTCTGGGGGATTTTTGTCTTGACGGCGGGTGCGCATGAGCGCACCCATGGGTGTAGCCTCCGAGCCCCCGGGCGATTCGGGCAAATTTGTCTGCGGGTTTTTTCATGTTGCCAGCAGGGGAGGTTTTTGTTTTGTCAGTGGGTACGCGCGAGCGCACCCACGGGTGTAGCGCAGCCAAGGCGGTTTAGTTTTTAGGGATCGGGTGAGACGGAGCTCGCGGATCCTAGCGTCGGTGCGCGTCGTGGGATCGGGCGAGATAGTTAGTTTTAGGGATCGGACGAGACGGAGCTCGCGGGTCCAGGCTTCGGTGCGCGCCGTGGGATCGGGCGAGTCGGAGTCGTGGATCCTGGCCTGGGTGTAGCCCGCGCAGCCGAGGTAGTTAGTTAGTTAGTTTAGGGATCGGGCGAGTCGGAGCTCGTGGATCCTGATAAGGCGAGTTCGGGGTCGCAGACCCAGGCATTTTGGTGTGTAGTCAAAGCGTAGCTGAGGGATGGAGCGACTTCGGGGTCGCAGACCCAGGCGTTTGGTGTGTAGTCGAAGCGTAGCCGAGTGGATGGGGCGAGTTTGGGGTCGTAGACCCAGGCGTTTGGTGTGCAGTCGAAGCGTAGCCAAGTGGATGGGGCGAGTTCGGGATCGCAGACCTAGGTTTTTGGCATGCCTTGAGCCCCCGAGCCCTGTTGGGCTTTTGGTAGTGGTCGGTTTGAGTTGTGTGCGTTACCCCGTCCTCGGTTTCTCACAACCGGAGGGGCTGAGTTTTGTCCCTTGTCCCGATCGCTCGGGCTCAAGTGACGCGCTCGGTGAGTTCGCTAACGGGTATGATCGAGTGGAATCTGGGTCCGTCGTTCGTGACGGGGTCGGCATAGCCCTCTTGTGACATTCCACTGCTCCTTTACCTGTAACCCGGTAGATGCCTGGGTTATTCCGGAGACCGACCCGGGTGGCCTGACGGCCTCCCCTCGATGGAGATTATGTGGGTTTGGCAGAGGTTTAGGATCGAACGAGAAGGTTGAGATGACTCTGTCTACTTTGGGGCAGACTGGGCGAGGGCCGCATGGGGCTCATCTATGTTTTCTCCCCTGGCTCTGTTTGACGTGGGGCGGCCTCGAGCCCTTAGTGGGCCGGCCTTCGGACCTCAGTCGGTCGTTGCTCATATCGAATGAGGCAACTACCGCTTCGTGACGCAACACGGAGCGTTGTGATGCATTTCGCTGCATGTGCGATGCTTAGTTCCCGAGCCCTCGAGCGATTCAGGGCCCGAATCATCCGGGGGCACGGGCGTATGGAATGAATGCGCGTATGGATGTATGAAATGATTATAAAGAAATA